ACTCGGGCGCCTTTCTGCATGGATTAGCACAGTATGTTGTCCCCAGTTTCCACCGGTTTCCTCCCATTGCAATAAAAACACAGACAGTGCAATGCAACTGAGACTCGCCACATACCCCAATAGGGACCACAGCAGCAACATTGCCCCCTACTGTGAAACCCTTGGCAGGACCCTCCTGGAAAAGAGTTGAGGCTTTCCTGGGTAAATAAGTATAACAACGATAATGCACCATTTTTACATTGGTTGCAGGTCAATTTCATGATAAATGCTATTTTTAAACATTTCAGAAACATGCATATTATATTTTAAGATTTTTAATTGACTCTTGGGTTCGGCCACACAATGGTCTTAACCCGAATACAAACATCAGTTATGAGTCGTGATACTGGCAGCAAAACCTGTCGCGTTATATTTATAGAACTAGGGCAGCAGAACGGTGCTCGTGCGCGCGTCATAGTGTGCTTGCAGTGGCAATTGTGCAATTGAGGCGTTCTGTTTCCAGATATTTCCCAGGTGGAAAATGTTTAAAGACCTAAACGATCCATTAGAACAAATGATAATGCTATCACGCTGTGGGAATAACATTGTAGCCCTTACAGGGCAGTGTAATCAGATCGCTGTGGGACACGGTTGGCTACGTACGGTGCGAAATAAGTTCAACGTACACACCTACACGGACCTGGGTGGCGCACGTCGATGTAGGGTGGCGCGATGAAAGCGAATCACCCTGCAGCAGCCCATGTTCACTGATGCTCTCACTCTCTCAGAGATCCACTCGCAGCCCCTCACACACCCTGTCGCCTTAAAGGCCGGCAAGGCACACGACGGGGTGCGTGGCCAGCACCACACCCGGCCACATTTGTCTCCCCAGTGGCGATGTTTTACACATCACACCAGGTACTCATTTGAGGTCGAGTCGACCCAGGAGAGGCCCAGTACTGCTTTAGATAATCGTCACTGGTGTTGACCGTGAGGGGGAATCGAACTCGGATAGGTGGCTTCATAGCGCAGCACTCTAACCACTTCATCACCACTCACACAGCACACTCACACAGCACACTCGCCCTCTCACACTCACACAGCACACTCACACAGCACACTCACACAGCACACTCACACAGCACACTCACACAGGACACTCACAAAACACACTCGCCCTCTCACACTCACACAGCACACTCACACAGCACACTCACACAGCACACTCGCCCTCTCACACAGCACACTCACACAGCACACTCACACAGCACACTCACACAGCACACTCACACAGCACACTCGCCCTCTCACACTCGCCCTCTCACACTCGCCCTCTCACACTCACTTGGACTCACTGCCGTTTTCCCTCATCGCGGTGTGGGAATATGAACCGCTGTGAATAGTGGCGGTGCACGCACACGCGTGGTTCTGTGAGGAGTGGCGGTGCTGTGAGGAGTGTGTGGTGCTGTTAGGCGTGTGTGGAGTGTGAGGAGTGTGTATGTTCTACCCCTGTTCTCCATGGGCTTCCTCTGGGTCCTTCCAGTTAAGGGAACACGCGCAATGTAACCATCCCAATGCTCAGTTTAACACGTAGGAGGATTTCACGACCAATATCATCCATACTAGATTTTTGGGTGAGATCGCGTAAATATATAAATGTGTCGTTAAACTCGCCATCACCCGACACAGCCAACTAGTAAGGGTTGTCACGTAAACAGAACGTGCTAATTCGTCACTAGTACAGCACACCGGTGTGTTGGAGAGCCAAGCTACAACATTTACAAACTGAGTACGACGTTTCGCCAGTAATTACAACCAGCTTCATCAGGCGACAGACAGATTTGTGGAGAAAACGGGACGATTGACCAGCATGAGACTGAAAGAACATCAGCACTGGCGGAGCCAGTGGGGGTGGGGTGGCACGTGCCCCCCTAATCATCCGATCGAAATCCCTCATTTTAATTGGATCATTGGGGTTTATTAGTAATAAATCGGCGACCCCCACTGCCACTGTGGAGCATATTATTATGTGCCAGGCACTCTATGAGATGATAGGACAATAGTCTGAGTCCATAATTGGCAATAAGTAACGGCAAAGCGGTTATAAGTGACTCAGAATTGTGCGCAGTTGCGTATACAGTACGCGACTTCCCTGAAGGCAAACACCTTCAGTGAGCGCGATGCCGATCACACACGCGTCGAATAAAAAGCAAGGGACAAGTCCTTACTAACAACTCCTATCATTTTTCATTTCTGAAGTGGTTGACCTCCCTACCTGAAAATCCTAGCTCCGCCATTGAACATCAGAGAAATATTAAATTATCCCAAATGCAACTGTCAGCAGTATCAGAACATGCGTGCCAACAAGGACACTCAATTGATTTTGATAACGTTGAAGTTTTTTTTGCAAAACGAGCTACTCCTGTCCAAGACTAATTAGATAATCTATAGAAATTAAAATAAATCAAAATAACTTTAACCGTTCGGATAGCTACCGCCTTAGTGCTGCGTGGAAGCGAATCATCAAATAATACATTGTTAAAATGCATGCCTACAAAGGGCAGCGTACTTCAAAAGGGATTACCGTTGGTATAGGGTTATTTGAATAAACACAATAGACAGGAAGGACAAGTTCAAAGGGCTCGCATAATGCACATGCATAGTGTACGTTGCCTCAGTAATCCCCCCCCCCCCCACATTGTGCAAGAGCGCAGAAGGGTGGTCAACTTATCCCAATGCTGAAATATGACCTGCAAGCTACTCAATTGGGATGATATACAGCGGCGGCGGCGGCTGCGGCAGCAGCACCATCGCCCCCTACTGCGGAAGCCTGGTAGGACCCTCCTGGGAAAGAGTTGAGACTCGGTGAGGCTCACGCTCGGCGGGCAGCCCATCCCAACCCAACCCACACACCTCCCGTATGAAGCATGACATCACCGGCTGCTAAAGCCTACGTGTCGACTAGGTAATTGGTTGATTAAATGTAAGGGCAATTTAAACATCTTAACCTCTACAAACTTCATAAACTGCCAAGACACTTCAGGGGATCACGCCCAGATGCCAATCACTCACTCAGTGCACTCCCTGCAATGTTGGACCCACGGAAATTACAAAACTGAAAAGTGTGCAAAGAGGGATGGAGAGATGCCCGGAATTGCACTTACACCAACAACATCGCATTGCCCTTTACCCAGTAGTAGATAGACCATGGTGATTCTAGATTTGAAGTTTTCGTGACTGCGGGGATCCATACTCTTTGGTTCTTTCTGTAAAGTCACGTAGATAGAAAATAAATTAAATCACGACGTTTCGGGCGCAACACAAGCGTCCGTCACAGCAAGAAACACTTGTTTCTTTCTTGCTGTGACTTGTTTCTTGCTGTGGTTGTCCCACCTGATGTGTTTGTCCCACCTGATGACGGACGATTGTGTTCCGCCCGAAACGTGATTTATTTTATACCTACGTGACTTTACCGAAAGAACCAACGAGTATAGACCATGATGATTACACTGAGAGTGTATTAACACGTAGAGAGAGATTGAGGAAGTTTACGTCTTTCAGTTTCATTTATGAGGTGTCGCCCTGTGAGCCATGTGGCTCTTGACTCGGGTGCAACCGCAACAAACAAAAACATGAACAAGAAACATCTTAAAGTGACTAAGCGCAACAGAAAAATCCAGGAAAAAACAGCAAAGTCTTCCAGAAAAAGCACCGCATATCAACGCTGTGTGCAAAAATCCCAATGGGATGCAAGTCAAACAATAACAACCATAAGACAATTTAGATTAGAGTTATCAGGCTAACTCTTTACTTCAACAAACAAACATGGCTAAACCATACGTTTTCGAAATCATGAAAATAAAGCTATAAAAACAATGTAACAATGATCACAGGAACTGTGATTCAAATGTAACAATAAACAATATTACATAACATGTACGACCAAACTTTGCAGCCATAGCTGGCAGCACGAGTCACTCCATAACAGCACGAGTATCAGCAGGAGAATCAAACTATTTCAATGCACCTTTAAACATCAGCACACTATAACCAAACTCAAGATCATACTTTGCAGCGGACGTCCGGAGCGATGCATTTGATTTCAGGCCACTCTGCATAGCAGTGGCAGCTAGGGGTGTACAACTCCTCTAGAGCAGTTGTGAGTGAAGATCTCACAGGTAGTGATCCAAGTTGCAGTTTATTGCGATAGCATTCCAGACCCTGGGGGCATCAATAGCAAAGGCCCTTCCTACAGTGTGTGTACGGCAATAAGGAATGTGAAGCTGGTAAATGTGCGAGGACCTTAGGTCACAGTGAGGAGATCCAGCAGGTAGTTTGCTGATTTTTTTGTAAGTACATCGTGAATAAATACGATCTGATGCACAAGCCGTCGATCATTAAAAGATGTTAAGTTTGACCCAATGTAGAGATCGCAGTGGTGGGTCCTATATGGGCAGTTCGATGCAAATCTTAAGTCTGAGTGATAAATTGAGTCAAGCTTCTTCAGTACAGTACTTGGGGCTGATTTATACACGATGTCACAGTAATCAAGTAGTGGCAGTATGGTAGCTTTTATCAATTCCAAACGGAACATATGTGGTAAGCAGTGCTTGTGTCGATACAGACAACCAATTTTTATTTTTGTCTTTTTACCAATATAATCAATGTGATCTTTAAAATTCAGTTTGAATCAAAGATGACCCCAAGATACTTACAGATCTTGACTTGCTCTATTTTATAAGGAAGACGGGATCCAGTGGCGTAACGATATCAGCTCAGGGGGTTCGCCAATCGGTCAGGCGGGGCCCCAAAACTGTTCAAAACAAATCTCTTGGCGGTTGTCAACCCTTGGCAACTCGTAGCTCTGGCCACCAGGGGGGGCAAGGCACATGGCCTATTGCGTCATGCAACCTCTTATTCCCGTGTACTGGATCCGCGTGACGTGTCACGCGTCGTGGTGGAGTGACGTCATAGAGGTGACGTCATGGATTAGCTCTGCATAACTCGAATGCAGTGACGTCACGGCGCAACGACCTCGTGACGTCACCGCAGCTGTTGTGGAGAAGGCGATGATGGCGGCCACGGGGTTCGCGGAGCCGGGGAGCGGCCGCACTGGCGCCTGTGGCTCGCTGCGGCCGCCTCACGGCGACAAACTGCGGCAGATGAGCACCCAGGAGCTGCAGCAGCTGCTGGAGGATGACGCCAAGCTGGAGAGCATGGTGCGCGACATGGAGGAGGTGAGCGAGCGGGCGGGCGGGCGGGCACCGCGGCGTCCCGCGAGGCCCAAAGTGAGGCGCGGGGAGTGCGAGGGTGAGGCACTCACGAGACGGGGTGAGGGAGTACGAGTGAGTGTGTGGGAGTGTGTGAAGGAGTGTGAGACGGTGTGAAGGAGTGTGAGGGAGTGTGTGGGAGTGTGAGACGGTGTGAGGGAGTGTGTGGGAGTGTGAGACGGGGGAGGGAGTGTGAGACGGTGTGATGGAGTGTGAGGGAGTGTGAGGGAGTGTGAGACGGTGTGTGGGAGTGTGTGGGAGTGTGAGACGGTGTGAAGGAGTGTGAGGGAGTGTGTGGGAGTGTGAGACGGTGTGAGGGAGTGTGTGGGAGTGTGAGACGGGGGAGGGAGTGTGAGACGGTGTGATGGAGTGTGAGGGAGTGTGTGGGAGTGTGAGACGGTGTGTTGGAGTGTGTGGGAGTGTGAGACGGTGTGAAGGAGTGTGAGGGAGTGTGTGGGAGTGTGTGTGAGTGTGGGAGTGTGTGTGAGTGTTGGAGTGTGTGTGAGTGTGTGGGAGTGTGAGGGAGTGTGTGGGAGTGTGAGACGGTGTGAGGGAGTGTGTGGGAGTGTGAGACGGGGGAGGGAGTGTGAGACGGTGTGATGGAGTGTGAGGGAGTGTGTGGGAGTGTGAGACGGTGTGTGGAAGTGTGTGGGAGTGTGTGTGAGTGTGTGGGAGTGTGAGACGGTGTGAAGGAGTGTGAGGGAGTGTGTGGGAGTGTGTGGGAGTGTGAGACGGGGGAGGGAGTGTGAGAGTGTGAAGGAGTGTGTGTGAGTGTGTGGGACGGTGTGAGGGAGTGTGTGGGAGTGTGTGGGACGGTGTGAGGGAGTGTGTGGGAGTGTGAGACGGGGGAGGGAGTGTGAGACGGTGTGATGGAGTGTGAGGGAGTGTGTGGGAGTGTGAGACGGTGTGTGGAAGTGTGTGGGAGTGTGTGTGAGTGTGTGGGAGTGTGAGACGGTGTGAAGGAGTGTGAGGGAGTGTGTGGGAGTGTGTGGGAGTGTGAGACGGGGGAGGGAGTGTGAGAGTGTGAAGGAGTGTGTGAGTGTGTGGGACGGTGTGAGGGAGTGTGTGGGAGTGTGTGGGACGGTGTGAGGGAGTGTGTGGGAGTGTGAGACGGTGTGAGGGAGTGTGAAGGAGTGTGAGGGAGTGTGAGGGAGTGTGTGGGAGTGTGAAGGAGTGTGTGGGAGTGTGAGACGGTGTGAGGGAGTGTGAGGGAGTGTGAGACGGGGTGTGGGAGTGTGAGGGAGGGTGAGACTCTGTGAGAACGAGCCTCGGTGGGTGATGGGGAGACTCATTGAGTGAGGAAAAATGGGAATTCTCATTAGATCTGAATTCACACCACAAAGGCCCCCAGTGGATTTTCCCCTCTTGAGGCCCCAGCGGGGTCCCCCCTGTGGCCTCTTGCGAGGGCGGGCTGCTGACATCATCCACTTCCGTGTGCGCCCACCGCGTGGATTGTTCGCACCAATCGGGGCATCGGATTCTCGCCCTCCATCGGATGTAATCGTCGACTTAATGGCTCAGGAAACGATAATCCAGTCAGGAAGCCACTGATCGACGTCTCGAGAATCGCTTGACATCCCCACTCAGGCGTGTCACCTCCACTCAGGCGTGTCACCTGTGTCACCTGCATCGTGTCACCTGTGTCACCTGTATGAGTCACCTTTACGGGGGCCCCGTTGCCTCAGGGGCCCCCGGGCCGTGCCCAGTACCCCGACTGGCCAGTCCAGCCCCTGTTTGTGTACGCACTTTAAATCTAAATTGAAAAATATTTTCGTTAGAAGTTCAACATATCTACGTTGTTGCCCCGCGATGTATGTATACACATACAGTACTGTACACACATACAGTACTCTACACACATACAGTACTGTACACACATACAGTACTGTACACACATACAGTACTGTACACACATACAGTACTGTACACACATACAGTACTGTACACACATACAGTACTGTACACACATACAGTACTGTACACACATACAGTACTGTACACACATACAGTACTGTACACATCGTCACCTGCCCTACGGGTTGCGTCGTGGGTTTGGTCCGTGGCCGTGACCCAGGGCTGTGTAGCGCAGCGGTTCGAGATGCTGTGCCATACTGTATATTCATACTGTATATTCATATTGTTTATTATTGTATATTCATACTGTATATTCATATAGTATATTCATACTGTATATTAATATTGTTTATTATTGTTTACCCAGCAAAGCTACACTTGAGTCTCAAGACTTTTTTCAGGAGGGTTCTACCAAGTTTGTCACAGTGAGCGATGTAGCTGTGTGTGACCCCTTTTCAGTAAATTTAAACAATTTAGATGTTCTGCCGATACCGGTTACGTGAAGCAAGACGCAGCTGCATTGAGACGCTTACAACTGCTGTTGTGTACACAGAAAACGTATCATGGCTATGGTATTTACAGTGCTGCTGTGTTCAATGACGCATGTGCATATGGTCGTGGAACACAATCGGTGGCAGCAGGGTGGTGGCGCAGTGGCGACACTCGTGCCTCACGGCTAGAAGCACCCGGGTTCAATTCCCGTGTGAGGAGTTTGTATGTTCCCCTCCCCCTGTTCTACAAGAGTTTTCTCTGGGTTCTCCGTTTTATTCCCATAGCTAAAAAAACTCCACACAATGTAACTGGGGCGTGATGGTGTAACATTTGTGTGATGGTGGGAAGCGATGATGCGAAAGTGTGACTGAATGATATGATTGGTGGGACATGTTTTGACAATAAGATGATTACCGCTTTGTGTCGCTCCATAAGAATGTGGAATTTCCATCACTGGCTCTTGCAGGGCTGTAAACGGGAGCTGAGCAACGGTGCCTCAACGCTCACTTCAGGAGCTCTCTCTGAATGTGTCTGCATCTGTGCCCACACGCGCCACGCACGCAGCTGGAAAACATTCAGATGGAGAAGGAGCTGTGCCTGGCCAGCAACCGCAGCCTGGCCGAGGAGAACCTGAAGCAGCAGCCGCAGCTGGAGGAGGGGCGACTGCTCCTGGCGCAGAAGTACCAGCAGCTTAAGACGCTACACGAAGCCTTCACGGAGAAGGCTGCCAGGATCGGTACGGCAGGGGTGCAGACAATGCGACACTTCCCCCTGCACACTCCTGTCGCTGCACACTCCTGTCGCTGCACACTCCTGTCGCTGCACACTCCTGTCGCCGCACACTCCTGTTGCTGCACACTCCTGTCGCTGCACACAGGGCAGATAGCGGCCGTTTCCGCGGGTCCATTGGGATTGCTCGTAATAGGATAGGTGGGCGATAGGGCCATACGTAAGCGGAGTTCTACTCTCATCGCTAATCGTTGTGAGTCGGGCTGGCATTGATAACACATCTCCCCCTCTCCCCACTCTCCCTGCCTCTCTCCCCACACTGCCTGCCCCTCTCTCCACACTCCCTTGCTCTTCTCACACTCCCTGTAGCAGAACCCTCCTGAAAAATTGTTTTCAGACTCAATGTGGTTTCTTGGGTAAATAAGTAGTTATGAAACATGATTCACAAGTGAGATGAGTAGCTGTGTGAGTCGGGGCCGTGTGTGTTTTGAGTGAGTGGCTGTGTGAGTTGGCGCCATGTGTGTTGTGAATGAGTGGCTGTGGGAGTCAGGGTCGTGTGTGTTTTGAGTGAGTGGCTGTGTGAGTTGGCGCCATGTGTGTTGTGAATGAGTGGCTGTGGGAGTCAGGGTCGTGTGTGTTTTGAGTGAGTGGCTGTGTGAGTCAGGGCTGTGTGTGTTGTGAGTTGGGGCCGTGTGTGTTGTGAGTGGCTCTGTGAGTTGGGGCCGTGTGTGTTGAGTGGCTGTGTGAGTTGGGGCTGTGTGTGTGTTGAGTGGCTGGTTGAGTTGGGACTGTGTGTGTTGAGTGGCTCTGTGAGTTGGGGCTGTGTGTGTGTTGTGAGTGGCTGTGTGAGTCAGGGCTGTGTGTGTTGAGTGGTTCTGTGAGTTGGGGCTGTGTGTGTGTTGTGAGTGGCTCTGTGAGTCAGGGCTGTGTGTGTTGAGTGGCTGTGTGAGTTGGGGCTGTATGTGTGTTGTGAGTGGCTCTGTGAGTCAGGGCTGTGTGGGCTGAGTGGCTGTGTGTGTTGTGAGTGGCTGTGTGAGTTGGGGCTGTGTGTGTGTTGTGAGTGGCTCTGTGAGTTGGGGCCGTGTGTGTTGAGTGGCTGTGTGAGTTGGTGCCGTGTGTGTTGTGAGTGGCTGTGTGAGTCAGGGCTGTGTGTGTTGTGAGTGGCTGTGTGAGTTGGGGCCGTGTGTGTTGTGAGTGGTTGTGTGAGTCAGGGCTGTGGTGTGTTGTGATTGGCTGTGTGAGTTGGGGCCGTGTGTGTTGTGAGTGGCTGTGTGAGTCAGGGCTGTGGTGTGTTGTGAGTGGCTGTGTGAGTTGGGGCCACATGTGAGCTCGGCGATGGCGCTGTCTGTGTGCGCAGAGAGCCGAGCGGACTCGCAGGGTGTGGATACCCTGCTGGCACTGCTGCAGGCCGAGGGTGCCAAGATCGAGGACGAAACAGAGGTGGGTGCCGGTCCCATTTCTCCACATTTACCATCAATGTTTTGAACGCTCCTGGTAAGACAATGAATGTCAAAACCGGTCCTTGCCTATGGGCACCTGGAATTTCACCAGAATTGGTTTAAGCAAGCCTGACTGTTGATGAGACACTGATTGTCAAAACTGATCCAGAGATTGCGCGTTTTGAACCAGTGCTGCAGAAATAATGCGCTTCCAGAAGCTCATGGGATGTGTAAAATACGAGTATTTTTATGTGGAGGGACAGATGTAGGAATGGGGCATGTTGGCTGCTTATTCATTTCCAATAGTGGCAGCTGAGCGGTAGTGAGTGGTTTGCAGTGGGAATGCCGTGAGTTCACATCCTGGGTGGAGGTTGTCCTGCGACAAATTGCCAGCCTCAGCATTGACTGCTACTTTGAAACTCTAGTTCCTGCTTTCCACGACTGGACCCCCTGGCAGCGTGTGGAGTGCGAGCAGCAGTGCCAGTTGACCGCCGCTCTCAGACTCCTCGGTGCCCATTGATGCTTCTGTCCACGTTGTACCGAGTGTGGCACAGCTGTGCACCCTTATGTGGGGTCACTTCACACGGGACTTTTATTTCCGACGTGGAGGGACAGAGGTGTGGAGGCTGTCGGCTTATTTATTTAGTTGTATTATCCAGAGCGACGCAAATGCCTGTTATCACTTGGCTGAGGTTGTTGGTGGTGATTGCGGGCGATGTTATTTGCTGATTGTTGTTGGTGTAGATGGGGTTTGATAGAAGTGGTTGTGGTTTTAGAAGTTAAAGGAAAGGTCCACATGTGCACTGTGGAAGCACAAAAGTTATTTACAACTTTTTGGGTAAATATTTTTATTGGGCGGCAGGATGGCGCTCGTGCCTCGCAGTAAGAAGCGCCTGGGTTTCATTCCCAACTCGGGCCCCTTTCTGTGTTGAGTTGGTATGTTCTCCCCCCCCAAGTATGTATGGGTTTTCTCCGGATTCTCCGGTTTCCTTCCATAGCTAATAAAACCCACACAGTGCAACCAACATCATTCGTAATACAGGTAATTGCTGTTGGACAAACATCCCAATGCTGATAAATTAATTGCAATTTACTCAATTTGGATTACATACAGTAGTAACATCGATTATGTTATGTGAAACCTTGGCAGGACTTTCTTGCAAAAATCTTGGGACTCAAGCCTTGTGGGTAAACAAATGGAATAATAACGATATTTGTCCTCGGTCATTTGAGTTGGGTTTTCCCCCATTGCAGAAAATGGCCGAACACTTTATGGAGGGGCAGCTGACGCTGGAGGAGTTTGTGGACGACTACCAGAACAAGCGGCGCTTGGCTCACATGCGCCGTATCAAGATTGAGAAGCTGCAGGAGATCATCGCCAAGCAGCAGCAACAGCAGCCACAGGCGAACCAGCAGCAGCAGCAGCTGCAACATATACAGCAGCTGCAACATATGCAGCAGCAGCAGCAACGGCATCACGCTGAGTGCGCACTGCCCGCAAGGCCCGCTCCACTGCCCCCCATGCCCGGGAGGACATCCAGCCCTGTGCACCCACAGCCCGGCCCCCAAAACTCAGCGCCCAACTCCATGCACTACCCCTACTTCCAGGGCGCCTCCATGCCAGCCCAGGCCCTCGACCCCAATCGAGCGTTGCCGCCCCTCCAGCACCGGGGCCAGGGGCCCTCCATGCCAGCCCCATTCAGCTACCAGGGTCCGGGCTACGGAGCCCCCCAGCAGCCAGGGGGTTGGGGGCCCATCCTGCACAGGGCTCCCAATCCCCCTCCTCGGCCTGGGCAGTGGAACATAGGTTCCCAGCCTCCTCCCCTGCCGCCCCGCTCTGGCCCGGCACAAATTGGGTTCGTGATGCCGCAGTAGTAGAGCCGACCATCGACGCTGTAGCCCTTCGCTATCACTATCCCCTCACTCCTCTCATTGCCACATGATGTAATGTACAGAGAACGCTTTATATATTTAATTTTTAAACTTTACCATAACTCCTGAATACTTCAGAATTGGGATATTCGGGCAATATCAGTTACTGTTTTTTTTAGCTGCGGGAGGAAATCGCAGAACCCGAAGGAACCCATGCAGAACATGGGGAGAAAACATACAAACTCCACATAGGTGCCCAAGTCGGGAATCGAACCCAATAAATTCTTGGTATTAGGTAAGTGTTACCACTGCGCCACTACCCTGCCGCGCTGCAGACCCCTAACCCTTCATCATTGCAGCGTGATTCCTCTCAGCGTGATGCTGTGGATCGTACATTTGCAGATTAACTGTCCTGACAAGAGCGTTTCTTGTTGGGCTTTGTGAGCGTCAGTGTCCAGGAGGAAGTCCCCAAGCTCCTTGAGCCCTGATGTGGCACGAAGCACAACTGCGCCACATGTGCCCTTGGAGAGTAAACCGTTTATTTTGCTTAACCAGGTGAGAATTCAAGAGACAAGGATGAGTGTAATTTCAAGAGTGACCGTGGGTCACCAAAATCACAATAAAGACAGCAATGAAGCAAATAGAAATCAGTGCCAAAACAACCAAACACAAGTTGGTGTAAAACAACCAACATACATTTGTGTAAAACAACCAACATAAGTTGGTGTAAAACAACTGCGTTTAAAACTGCAAAAACGTGAATCTATATTTAATTAAATACATTTCCTGTAGCGAAATTTGGCTCGGAACAATTTAGTTTGAAGAAGCTCACGTTGAATAGTGCTGGTGTATATCCCCCCACGTGCAGGAACATCCTGCGTTTGCGCTCACGGGACTCGTTGCAAGGAGTGGTCTCGGATCGGTTGGGTTCTCTGCTGCCGGACAGGCCCGCTGGTAGTCTTGGCAGGTGGTTGTTGCTCAGACACGAGGAGTTGTGTACCGGGTGGTGGGTAGTGCGGATGGGACTCGGCGCGGGGTGGCCGTTGTGCATGTTGGGAGTTGCACCGCTCATATTTGGCAAACGGTCGTCTCCCGGGCGATGTAAAGTGATCTTCTGTTGAACTTGTATCAATAAGTCTGTTTTGCGTGCCGTGAACATTTTACTTTGTAATAAATGCTATAGTGTAGGGTTTAGTGCATTTTCTTCCTATCATATGTATGTTTAATCTGTATACACAATGGAAATGGAATGGAATGAGAAATGTAATCGTGCATTGGAAGCCACTGCACGAGTCTGCGATGATGTTAACAGAACTGGCAGCAGCGAGGAGGAGGAGGCCGCGGTGGGAACCCCCCCACGGTGTCGCCAGGCCAGACAGCAGCAGCAGCTGTCTGCTCGATTCAAGAAACGTGTCAACTTGAATCGATTACAACTTTGACAGTGCTGAGTTGGGCCTGGGTGCAGCGGCAGAGCGAGCCAATTGCAATTGGAAGGTTGCGAGTTCAAATCCTGGTTATTGTATGTACTGTATGTTGAACTTCTTTCGCACCATATGTAGACAAGTGCTCATTGGATGTGCGAGGGAAGGACAACACACAAGACAAAAATAAGTTCTAAAGAAATTGGTATTCAATCTAGATTTAAAAGTGCATAATCTAGTGGCTTCCTAATATTGCAATGAAGAGCGTTCCAGACGGCTGCAGAACCGCATCTGAAAGCACGTGATGCAGTGACCGTCTTTGTTCGATGGTCATCCAAAAGCTGCTGCGAGAATGACTGGAGTTGGTGTGATGGTTTATCGTCCTTGACGAGGTCAGCAAGTTGTGGGCGGTTGACTCAGCCCATCATCCTAGAGTCGGTAAAGTGAACACCACTTCCTGCGTTTAAAAATAAAACCGTAGCACTTGCATTTATTTTCAGTTAGGGTTTTCTCACCATATAAACTAAACTATTACGTAACACAATTCTGTTTTATGTACCGAATCTGCCTTCAAATCGGTGGTTGAAATAAACACGTCGAGCTTGTAGGTGTGGTGGGGGTACCAAAGCGCGCCGCGTCCCGACTCCGCGGCCTGTGCGCGCGTCCTTTGCGACACTTGGGCTGCGGGTTCGGGTCTCCACCTTTTCCACCACAGACTAAATCTGAACACTTTTCTCAGTCAGCCTCGGTCTGTCTACACAGCAGTATATCTGATGAGAGAGTTCAACAGGGGCTCGTGGCAACCCAAGTGGTTGCACGGGGCCATTGGGGGCCATTCAGAAACTACGAGAACTTTGTTGGTCCCGAGTGGCCGCCTCGCTCCACCGAGCGGGGCCGAGTTCATTTCTGAGCTTGTTGCTTCTGGACGAGATGTCGCAAGAGAATCCCCAATCCTGTGTTGGCTTTTGTTTTGGTAAAACTGGAAAATGCCGTGATATTTCAAAATCATGATGTCTTTGTATATATCGTATCATGTTTCTATTTACAATTAAACATCGGTGATCTGGGCGTGTGTGTGTTGGCTACATCTCGTCTCGGAGCCAGCTCGCCACCTTCGCAAAAAACAGGAAATGTTGCGTAGTCTCCTTCATGAATCTGTCCCTCAAACTCAAAGTATATTTTTACACATCCATCAGCCTCACTGCATCCTGGGAGTGCATAATTTCAAAAGCTTTTGTTCAATTACAAGCAAAACTGGACCCGTTTCAACATTAAGTGTCTCATCAGCAGTCCGATTCGCTTGAGCCGATGCTGGCGAACTGTATGGGCAAGCACTTGGATATGTGTCCTGGTGAGACGATAAACGATGTAACCGAATGTCATTGGTAACAATTCACAGTGATAGTTTCACCTGGTATCCATTCGTGCTGCATCGACACGCATCGCACCTCCTGGCATTCACATTCCTCGAAATGTATTTTGTTCCACGGATAATCCCATTTACCAGTTGCCCGGTAATAACAAAGCACGTGAGATGCGTCATGCCATGAGCACAGCGACAAGAAAACAAAGACGACATCAATGCAGAGAACGAATTCGGGGTCCGTATTAAATAATGTATATCGAGGTATTTGACGGTCTTAAACGAAATACGCGAATAAAATAAAAAAACGAGACTGCCCTCAAACGCATCAGAACATTAACGTGTTAAACTTCTTTCGCCCCGTACGTAGCCAACCGTGCTAATCTGATGTGCGGGGGGAAGGACGCAACACCAGGTAGATGCCCTCATCTTCAGAAATGGAACATCAAAGACAGCCCACAAGGAGTGCGACTGCGGACATGCAACCCACACTGGGCCGAAATGTAAAACCACCGTCGTCTCAACAGCACAACGACGCGAACTCCCTCCCGAGGCGCTCCGGTGGCCAGCAGCAGCAGCAGCAGCCATCAGCATTGCTGCTGCTGCGCCAGGATGATGTTGGGGACGCGAACCGCACCGACAGCCTCGTTAATGGCGCGCTGAAGCCGTCACCACACCGTGGACGAGCGTGACAGCGGCCCACGACACGGCAAGGTTACACAATGCCCACCATGTTGGGCATCGGTAATTGGCGTAAGTCGTGCAATGTCTGTGCTGAGACTGCGATGCGCGTTCACCAGAGTGGCCTCAGTGGCCCGCGCCTTCCTCCCGCTTCGCGACACGAGCAGCCCCACGTGGGTGCGGGAGGAGGCCCCCTGCCGGGCTCCCAATGCTCGCTCCGGGGCCCCCTCCCGGGCTCCCAATGCTCGCTCCGGGGCCCCCTACCGGCCTCCCAATGCTCGCTCCGGGGCCCCCTCCCGGGCTCCCAATGCTCGCTCCGGGGCCCCCTCCCAGGCTCCCAATGCTCGCTCCGGGGCCCCCTCCCAGGCTCCCAATGCTCGCTCCGGGGCCCCCTCCCGGGCTCCCAATGCTCGCTCCGGGGCCCCCTACCGGCCTCCCAATGCTCGCTCCGGGGCCCCCTCCCGGGCTCCCAATGCTCGCTCCGGGGCCCCCTCCCGGGCTCCCAATGCTCGCTCCGGGGCCCCCTCCCGGGCTCCCAATGCTCGCTCCGGGGCCCCCTCCCGGGCTCCCAATGCTCGCTCCGGGGCCCCCTCCCGGGCTCCCAATGCTCGCTCCGGGGCCCCCTCCCGGGCTCCCAATGCTCGCTCCGGGGCCCCCTACCGGGCTCCCAATGCTCGCTCCGGGGCCCCCTCCCGGGCTCCCAATGCTCGCTCCGGGGCCCCCTCCCGGGCTCCCAATGCTCGCTCCGGGGCCCCCCTGCCGGGCTCCCAATGCTCGCTCCGGGGCCCCCCTGCCGGGCTCCCAATGCTCGCTCCGGGGCCCCCCTGCCGGGCTCCCAATGCTCGCTCCGGGGCCCCCCTGCCGGGCTCCCAATGCTCGCTCCGGGGCCCCTCAGCTGTGCTCCCGTGGTGCAGGAGACGGCGTCAGAAGAGCGGTGGCGAGGTCCCCCCCTCTCCGCACCGAGACCAGGAGGGACCCACCACGCTTTACCCTACCACCACCGTCACCATCGTCACCGTCACCACCGTCACCATCATCGTCAGCCACGATCTCGCCACCGCTCTGATGAAGACGGCCGAGCCGCTCCCCGCGGACTTCCCTGCGGGTTCCGCGTTCCGGCCGCGTCCCTGAGACCCGTGGCGCTCCGAGGCGAATTCTTCTTCTTTGCGAGATCCGGTAACTCGCTTCATCAAGAACTCTGACGAGGCGAGCAGCGGCGACACCCAAGTCTCACAGCCAGAAGGACCTGGGTTCGAACACCGAACCGGGTGCCTCTCCGTGTAGAGTTTTGTGTCCTCCCCCCATTCTGCTTGGGTCTGGCCAAACATCATCCTCATGCTGAACAATTCCCTGCAAGTCACGCAGCAGGGGTCACGCAGCAGGGGTCACGCACCAGGGGTCACGCAGCATCGCCCCCCCCCCACACTGTGAAACTTGGCAGGACCCTCCTGAAAGAGTCTTGAGACTCGGTGAGGATTTATTGGGTGAATGAGCGCAATAATTCCTCGCACTCGCTTGGGATTTCACTCAAGTGAATTGCGAGCGATATGGATTTTCTGCTTTTAAATAAACAGCAACACTGCGTGACATGACAAGAGTAACGTCAACAATCACGACAACCTAGATTTGAAGCTTTCGTGACTGCAGGGATCCATACTCATTGGTTCTTTCGGTAAAGTCACGTAGGTAGAAAATAAAATAAATCACGGCGTTTCGATTGCAACACACGCAATCATCATCAGGTGGGAAAACCACAGCAAGACTTTACCGAAAGAACCAAATAGTATGAATCACAACAACGTTTGTGATCCACGTATTGGCCACCACTACCCAATCCGTAGGAATGAACAACTCGTTGAGTATAACGATCAACAATCCAGTCTGATAATCCTGGCGACAGAAGAAACGTGTTTCACAAGCGTTATATAAGATGGAGCGACGATCGTGCGTGTGTGTTTTGTTTTCCAGATTCACTTCAAACCCCCGAAGACACCGGCGGCCGTCCACCCTCCACCGGAGCAAGCCACGCACGGCGGCCACGCACGGCGGCCCCGCCGCGGCGCTCGGGATGCCGGGTCCGGCGCTGGCCGCGCTGGCGGGCCTGGGCCGTCTGCTGGCCGCGCTGGCGCTGCTGTGCGAGCGGCTGGAGCGCGGCCTGGGAGCGCTCTGCGCCCTGTGCCGCGGGGCGCGCGCCGCCGGCGCCTGGGCGGCGCGCGCGTGCGCCGGGGTGGACGCGGCGTGCGGCCGCTGGGCCCGCGCGGCGGCCCCGCTGCTGCTCGGCTACGCGTGGCTGTGCGGACGCGTGGCGCCCGCCGTGGCGCCCGCCGCGCGCCCGGCCGCGGACCCCGCGGCGGGCCGGCCGCGAGCGGCGCAGGACGCGCCCACTAGGCCCAAGGGGCTGTGACTGCTCCGAGACTCGCGGTGGTTGAGATCGACTCGACTGGAGCGAACGGTGTCTCCTGAGAACGGCGGCAGAAAACTATTGGCGTCATCATCTGGATCACGGCTTGTGTGAGCGCTGTAAGCTTGCGTGAAGCTAGGACTGTGTTTAGCAGAGAGGATCCTCGATTATAAACATTTGTGGTTCTCCAGCAGTGGCTCAAGCGAGCTCGACTCTGCTGATGAGACACTCAATGTCGAAACTGGTCCAGAGTTTTGCTTGTGTTGTGGAACCAATGATGCTGAAATAATGCACGCCCAGAAGGCCGTGTGGCCGATGGGATGTGTAGAGGGACAGATGCGGGAACGGGGCGTGTTGTCTGCTTATTCATCCCAAGAGTGGCCGCTCAGCAGTAGAGCGAGCGGCTCACAATGGGAAGGTCGCGAATTCAGCATTGGCTCAAGCGAGCCGGACTGCTGATGAGACACTTAATGTTGAAACAGGTCCAGTTTTGCTTGTAATTGAAAACAAGCTTTTGAAATTTTGTACTCCCAGAATGCAGTGAGGCTGATGGGATGTGTAAAAAAATGCATTTGTGTACGAGGGATGGATTTATGAAGGAGACGACACATTATCACAAAATCATCACCAGCCTCAGCATTGACCTGCAATGGATGGGAACCGCACACCGAGCTGTCCCCTTGCTCTGCCGCTGTGGACCTCAACTCAACGTCTCCCGTCTCGCCGTCTGCAGCTTCCGCTGCTTCTGTGGAACCACGCCGTTCCCTCCTTGGAGAGCCCGCTCCTCGTGGCCCAGCGGGTGCGTGGTCGCCGCTTGGGGTGGAGGTTTGTGGTTTGAACCCAGCAGGCCGTGCTGGTTATCGCTGCGGCGTGGATTAATAACAAATCACTGGTCCGCGCCACGTGCTTCACTTGCACCGGATGTTAACGTTCCCGTGACGTCATTCTAAAGAGTGGGCCCTTGAGCGCCGGCATTACAGTCCAAATTGGACAAATTAGAAATTTTACTTGGCAAGACCCTCCTGAAAAAAAGTCTTCATACTCAGTGGGGCTTTCTTGGGTAAGCAAGCGGAACAATGATTATTTATCCATATTGTTTTTCAGGTGTCGTAGGTAATTGCTTCTGTGCATGGTTTGTATCCACTCGGAAAAACAAACAAATCTCGTAAACCCTGAAGTCAGTTATCGGGTGGCGTTGGAGGTGCGGCGGTGACACTCGCGTTTCACAGCAAGACATTCCGGGTTCGACTCCTGTCTTGGGGCCTGTGTGGAGTTTGGATATTCTGCCCCTGTTCTGCGTGGAGTTTGGATATTCTGCCCCTGTTCTGTGTGGAGTTTGGATATTCTGCCCCTGTTCTGCGTGGAGTTTGGATATTCTGCCCCTGTTCTGCGTGGGTGTTCTTTGGTTTCTTCCATAGTTCAGAGAACACACACTGTAACCGGTGTTGGCCAAACATCCCAATGCTGAAAATGTACCTGCAAATATTTGGCATCACACAGCAGCAGCAGCAACATCGCCCTCTACTGCGAGAACTTGACAGGACCCTTCTAAAAAATAAGGCTCAATTCAAAATAAGGCTCAATGCACGACGATCTCCACGTCGGTGAACCCCACGCACGCGAGCGCTCCTCTGCACGTGGTTCTCACACTGGCCCACGCACTTGGTGGTGTCCCGTGTGGACGGGTGGTGGGGAGCAGGGGCGAGGTTGGTTTAACGCAGTCGGTAGTGAAATGCGAAGCAGCTTCCTCGGCCGTGTCACTGTAAACACAGGGGGTGGGGTCGCAACGACTCGAGACACAGGAGGGTACGCGGCCGTAGGTCGACTCGGTTGGACTCCCGTGTCCCAAGGTTGGTGTGACGCCTCGTGAACTCGAATCCCCGACGAGAACAAGCCAGGTCCGCAGTGCAGCCGCGTGCTCTTGTCACTGGACGTCTGTGAAAAACACCTCCATAGCTCGTCGGATTCCTCCAGGCTAAATAATGATTCTAATAAAGTATTTTGAAGACGCATTTAGTTGGATGCATAAGCAGCACTTGGAGATTCTAAACTTACTTTGATGCTAATATCGAGGAGTTGCTAACAGTTCGTGCATGGCCGTGAGACGCTCACGAAATGGGAGTACAGCAGAGAGGTTCGTTCAGCCCGTCGACATTGACCCGCGAGAGGTGGCCACGATCCACAGCTGGTTGATCGCAAACCATGTAGTTGTGAATCCCAGGACAAAGGAGACCAGACGCTCACAAGCTGATAAGTTTCGTTACGGCTAATGGCAAATAACAATCACCGACTAAGAATGCATACATCTATATATAATAACGCCTGCCAAGAGAGGGCACGAGTCACGTGTCTGCGCTCCGGGGTGGTGGTTATGGTTGTTGGTCAGGTTATGGTTGTTGGTCAGGTTATGGTTGTTGGTCAGGTTATGGTTGTTGGTCAGGTTATGGTTGTTGGTCAGGTTACGGTTGTTGGTCAGGTTATGGTTGTTGGTCAGGTTATGGTTGTTGGTGGTTATGGTTGTTGGTGGTTATGGTTGTTGGTCAGGTTATGGTTGTTGGTGGTTATGGTTGTTGGTGGTTATGGTTGTTGGTCAGGGTTCCTGGCGGGCCCCGGACTCCACGAGCTCGACACCGTCCCGGACGTCGCGACTTTCCTGAATCTGTTTCATGAGAAATGCCATCGCACGTGGTTCATTCGCATTGCACTTGTTCACATCGCCGAGTCTCAAGAACGTCTCTTTGAGTCTCAATACTCTTCTTCAGGAGGGTCCTGCCACGGGTTTGTAGTAGAGGGCGATGTTGCTGCTGCTGCGCTCTGTACACCTCGTCTAGCCATTTGCAGGTACATTTTCAGCATTGGCGATGTTTGACTGATTACCAGTGACATTTGTTTAGCTGTGGATGGAAACCAGAAGAGCCGGAGGAACTCCAGCAGCACGCGGGGAGAGAATACAAACTGCACGCTGACGCCTGCATGGCCGGGGACTTGAACCCAGTCCCTCCTTGCTGTGGGGGGGCGCCAGTGTCGCCACTCCGCCTCGCTGCTCTCGTGACGACGCATCCCCCCCCTGCCCCCCCTCCCTGCTCCCCCCCCCCCTGCTCCCCCCCCCCTGCTCCCCCCCCCTGCTCCACCCCCTGCTCCACCCCCCTGCTCCACCCCCCTGCCCCCCCCTGCTCCCCCCCCTGCTCCACCCCCCCCTGCTCCCCCCCCTGCTCCCCCCCCTGCTCCAGCACCCGCGCCCCCGACATCTGCCCCGCGGCGGCGTTCTCAGCAGGGCGAGTGGTGGGGGGGGGGGCGAGTGGTGGGGGGGCGAGTGGTGGGGGGGGCGAGTGGTGGGGGGGGGCGAGTGGTGGGGGGGGCGAGTGGTGGGGGGGGGGCGAGTGGTGGGGGGGGGGCGAGTGGTGGGGGGGGGGGCGAGTGGTGGGGGGGGCGAGTGGTGGGGGGGGGGGCGAGTGGTGGGGGGGGGGGCGAGTGGTGGGGGGGGGGGGGTGATGAGGTGCTCCGCACTCTCGGCGCGGACGTCGGCGTCGTCGTCGCTGCTGCTGCTGCTGCTGCGATGGAGGCGGCGGCGAGAGTGGCGAGGTGAGTTGGACGGTCGCCTCCGTCTCTGCCGTGACCAACGAACGCCAATTCCTGTCACCATCGTGGGAGATATAACAAAGTACACAACTAATATATCATGATTGTTTTGTGTATATCACTCTATGGAGTTTTGTGTCGAATTCCGACCCATATCTCGCACAAAGAGAGGGGCTCACTGCCTACAAATATCTGGTAGGTCACCAGCATTGGTCACAGCGAGCCTGAATGTTGATTTGTAACTTTCATCCTTGCCTACTACGTGTCGATAGTTCGATGTTATTGAGGGACTGTGTTGTTGTCTTGGTGTGATCAGTGACTATTTTCCTCTTGTTTTGATGCCTTGTCCAAGTTTGGGAATTGATGTACTTAAGCAATTTGGACGTGTTAACTTTCTTTGTATTTATTATTAATTACTTGCTTACCTTCCCTATACTTTGTGTTGTTTGTTGTAACTTTCTGACCAGTCCCTACTGGACATGTGAAAAAGAGCTTCAGGGCTCATCGGATTTCTCCAGGATAATTAAAGATGCTGATGAGACGCTGAATTGTGAAACGGGTCCAGTTTGTGTTGATCCGATGCTCTTGAAATGATGCACTCCCATAAGGTCGCGTGGCTGGTGCGATGCGCTTTCACTTTTATTTAGTTGAAACGGGATTAAACACTGAAAATAGGACACATTACTCTGAACGAAAGTGCATAAACTTTTAAAATCTATACAAGTACAATTGAAGCTATGTTGCAGAAACGTCAAATTAAATGCTTCGTGTGAATATGTACTAACACACTGCTGTGGTGCAGCCAGCCAGATCGTGTTGTTTCTTGTGGAGTCGTTGTGACGAGGTGCACGGGGTTTGAGTTCACGAGGCGTCACGCGAAGCGCGCGTGTCGGGAGTCCAACCGAGTCGATCTACGGACGTGCCACCCCGGGGAGCACGAACTGTCCACGAGAAGCCCAGACCACGAGCGTGTCCTCGTGTCTCCTGTGCTTCGAGTCGTTGTGACCCCCCCCCCCCCCCCGTGTGTTTACAGAGACACGGCCGAGGAAACCGCTTCGCGTTTCACCGCCGACTGCTTTAAACAAACCTCGCCCTTGCCCCTTTGTCGGCAATTAATGCAAAACCAATTCACGTCACTCAAACTGGCTGCCAATGTCAGCAAAACCAGCGTGTGCGCTTCTCCCCAAAGAAAACTCTGCTCTCGTTTCCACCTCCAATTACGCTGTTTGGAAACTGCAGCGTTAAACAATTGAACCACCCACCCCCACTCACCACCCACTCACCACCCACTCACCACCCACTCACCACCCACTCACCACCCTGCAGGTCTCGACTCAACCACCCACTCACCACACTGCAGGTCTCGACTCAACCACCCACTCACCACACTGCAGGCACAAATCAATCACCCACTCACCACCCAGTCACCACCCTGCAGGTCTAGACTCACTCACCACCCACTCACCACCCTGCAAGTCTAGACTCAACCACCCACTCACCACACTGCAGGCACAAATCAATCACCCACTCACCACCCAGTCACCACCCTGCAGGTCTAGACTCACTCACCACCCACTCACCACCCTGCAGGTCTCGACTCAACCACCCACTCACCACACTGCAGGCACAAATCAATCACCCACTCACCACCCAGTCACCACCCTGCAGGTCTAGACTCACTCACCACCCACTCACCACCCTGCAAGTCTAGACTCAAGCAACCCACTCACCACACTGCAGGTCACACCTCAATCACCCACTCACCATCCACTCACCACACTGCAAGCAACCCACTCACCACACTGCAGGCCACACCTCAACCACCCACTCACCACCCACTCACCACACTGCAGGTCTAGACTCAAGCAACCCACTCACCACACTGCAGGCCACACCTCAACCACCCACTCACCATCCACTCACCACACTGCAGGTCTAGACTTACCAGCCACCCACTCACCACCCACTCACTTACAGTACTCCGGTGTTTACAAATTGAGTTGTATCTGCGGTGACTGCTATATCGGGGAGACGAAACGACATATTTCTGACCGAATTCGCGAGCACAAATCAGATTTGAAGCACGGCAGAACGAATTCTTCGGCCGTAGCTGATCATTGTTTCAACACAGCGGGTTCTCATGATATTGTTTTCTCCGATACCAAAGTGCTCTGCAAACCTCCCGGATACTACCAAAGATGTGTCCACGAAGCCATCCAGATATACAAACATAGACACAACTTCAACCTAGAGGATGGTTTTAAATTGAGCAATCATTGGAAAGATGTCATCAACCAAGTCAAAGTTTAGCTGCCTTGTAATTGTACAGCCATTTCCATTTCTTACAGTTGGTCACTTTCGTTTTTGACAACCGCTCGCCATCGCCTCTCCGTCCCCCTGAACCCCCTGCAGCATAACAAAAGGCGGCTTAACGTAGCCCCCCCCACGGCCCCTTCCTGGCTCCCCCCCCTTAACCTGTATATAATCTCGTGTCTCTTAGAGCTCTCTTCACTTGATACAGTCATTTTGCTGTGACGGTTTCCACCTGAAGACGGAAGCTTGTGTTGCCTCCGAAACGTCGTGATTTAATTTAGTTGTTTTTATTTCTTTTTAATTATTTTTTTACCTACGTGACTTTACCGAAAAAAACTAAGAGTATGAATCCTTGCAGTCACGAAAGCTTCAAATCTAGAATTATAAAAATCTTGCATGTGGCTGGTTACTTGACATTTTGGGCCTTTGGGCTTGTGCTCAGAAACTGTTTCAATCATGTGTCGATTTACATACCATTTACACACCGTTTACATCCACACCGCCACTATGTGTGCTAGCGAGCAGGATGGCAAGGCGCGCGTGGTGGAGCCAGGCGGAGGGTGGCACAGCCGCTGGCAGCTCGTGGCTTGTGTCGCCGTCGTCTACAACTGGCTCGCCGTCGTCTGCAGGTGACGCAGCAGCAGCAGCAGCAGTTCGACTTGTCCACAAATCTGTCTGTCGCCTGATGAAGCTAGTTGAATTACTGGCGAAACGTCGTACTCAGATTGTAAATGTTGTGGCTTGGCTCTCCAACACACCGGTTAGTGCTTTACTAGTTTACTACACTATACACTACACACTAGGCTAGACACTACACTATACACTACTATACACTACACTACTATACACTACACTATACACTACTATACACTATACACTACACTTTACTATACACTAGTGCTGTACTAGGGACGAATTGGCCACGTTCTGTTTACGTGACAACCCCTGCTAGTTGGTTGTGTCGGGTGATGGCGGGTTTTAACGACACATTTATATATTTACGCGATCTAACCCAAATAACATCTATTATGGATGATATTGGTCGCGAAAGCCTACGTGTTAAAACAAACGTTGTTTTGAATGTAGAGGGACAGGTCTGAGGCGTATGGCGTGCTTGTTGTGTTGTTGTTGGGTCGCAGGGCGAGCTTCCCAGACATCCAGAGGCAGCACGGCGCGCTGCTGCTCCCCGTGGACTTCCTCTGCGACGCCGTCTACCTCGCGCACATGGCGCTTGCGAGCCGCACTGGTACCGGCACCGCGTCCGCACAGAGCCCCACTCCCACGTGACCTTTGCGAGCCGCACTGGTGCCGGCACCGCGTCCGCACAGAGCCCCACTCCCACGTGACCTTTGCGAGCCGCACTGGTGCCGGCACCGCGTCAGCACAGAGCCCCACGCCCACGTGACCCTTGCGAGCTGCACTGGTGCCGGCACCGCGTCCGCACAGAGCCCCACTCCCACGTGACCCTTGCGAGCCGCACTGGTACCGGCACCGCGTCAGCACAGAGCCCCACGCCCACGTGACCTTTGCGAGCCGCACTGGTACCGGCACCGTGTCCGCACAGAGCCCCACTCCACGTGACCCTTGCGAGCTGCACTGGTACCGGCACCGTGTCCGCACAGAGCCCCACGCCCACGTGACCTTTGCGAGCCGCACTGGTACCGGCACCGCGTCAGCACAGAGCCCCACTCCCACGTGACCCTTGCGAGCCGCACTGGTACCGGCACCGCGTCAGCACAGAGCCCCACTCCCACGTGACCCCTTGCGAGCTGCACTGGTACCGGCACCGTGTCCGCACAGAGCCCCACTCCCACGTGACCCTTGCGAGCCGCACTGGTACCGGCACCGTGTCAGCACAGAGCCCCACGCCCACGTGACCCTTGCGAGCTGCACTGGTACCGGCACCGTGTCAGCACAGAGCCCCACTCCCACGTGACCCTTGCGAGCCGCACTGGTGCCGGCACCGCGTCCGCACAGAGCCCCACTCCCACGTGACCCTTGCGAGCCGCACTGGTACCGGCACCGTGTCAGCACAGAGCCCCACTCCCACGTGACCCTTGCGAGCCGCACTGGTACCGGCACCGCGTCAGCACAGAGCCCCACACCCACGTGACCCTTGCGAGCTGCACTGGTACCGGCACCGCGTCCGCACAGAGCCCCACTCCCACGTGACCCTTGCGAGCCGCACTGGTACCGGCACCGCGTGCTCACAGCGAGCAGCTATGGAGACTGGCACGGCGCACCGAGGCGTGATGGTGTGGCCACCATCACGCATAGCCGTCTTTGTCTCCACAGTGCTGATGTTTACACACTGCAGCAGGCACTCATTTCAGGCTGGGTCGACCTAGGGGTGGTGCACGAGTGGATCAGATATTCACTCGTGTTGGTTGCAAGTGAATTGAACTTAGATCGCCTATTTATTAGTGCTGTCCGCTAACCACTGTGCCACCGCTTCTCACTATGCCATTGACACACATTTCACACCTGCAGAGTAAAAGTGATTCCTCGCTAAAATGAGCATAGAGGTGGTGCTGCTCTCATGTTTCCAGTCTGAGGCAGTGGTACAAATTCCACATTCCTTTGGTGGGGACGAGTCGATCCAGGCAACCATAAGGCAGTTGTCCAGTTGGCCGTGAGCGCAGCTCAAGCTGTGTACGTGCTGTCCAAGTCGAGTGGTTACACGGAGTAGTAAGCTTTCGCCCCGTGACATTAGCGTGGCATTTAGGTGTCCATGTGCTCTACAACGGTGTGTGGAAAAACAAAATTCTCACCTCAGATCCAACCGCGAGCGTTGTGCATGGCGCGATACAAACGCACGCAGGAGAGACACAGGTCACTGGCATCCAGCGCAAACTCTTTATTTCAGAGAGACTCAAACTCGAGACCGACTGCACAACAACACCACCTCTCCTCCCCGTAGCGGCCAAGCCAACGGGGTTTCTGCCACCCCGTGGCCTCATGCCCACCGCATTTTGCATGCGATATCAATCAGACACTATTCCTACTTCAGCCACCGAGTAACCAATAATTATATAAACAAATCGCTCCAGGACCGCTCCTTCCACCTTTCTGAACACAAGTTGATCTATTCCCGGCGTAGCACTGCAGCATGGCTGATAATATAATTCATTATCAACACATTCAATGTCACATTTCCAATATTGCTAGGTGTAGATGTTTTACTGGTAGGAACGAAGTGGACCAGACCACCAATAGATTAATGTGTCCGTCCGTCCGTCCGTCCGACTGTCCGTCCGTCCGTCCGTCCCTCCGTGTATCAACATCGCCCCCTACTGCAAACACTTGGCATGACCCTACAAAAACCTTTAGACTCAGTGATGCTATCCTGGTAGCAACATCGCCCCCTACTGCAAATACTTGGCATGACACGTGTAACATTCCCTTATTCCCTGAGATAGCTTTTGATTAAAACCTTGAAATTAAATAAAGTGCGCGCGTTTCGTTAACATTAACGTGAGTAGCCGCGTGTAAGAGTTACATTTTAACGAGACGTGCGCAACTATAATGTTACTGAGGCCTAGTCCGTTAGCGCCTCGTATACAGCCTTAGGCTTTTGCGTGGCAAGGTATATTAAGCGTTTATTTTAATATGTTTATAAAAAATTAATTGCACTTTTAACATTAACGCGAGTAGCCGCGTGTAAGAGTTACATTTTAACGACAGGCGCGCGCTATAATCAGTAGTTTATAAACTGTATTAGTCACTTTAAAGTTACTGAGGCCTAGTCATTCAGCGCCTCGTATACAGCCTTAGGCCTTTGCGTGGCAAGGTATATTAAGCGTTTATTTTTATATGTTTATAAAAAGTTAATTGCACTTTTAACATTAACGTGAGTAGCCGCGTGTAAGAGTTACATTTTAACGAGACGCGCGCACTATAATGAGTGGTTTATTAACTTTATTTGTCACTTTTAAGTTACTGAGGCCTAGTCCGTTAGCGCCTCGTATACAGCCTTAGGCCTTTGCGTGGCAAGGTATATTAAGCGTTTATTTTAATTTGTTTATAAAAAGTTAATTGCACTTTTAACATTAACGTGAGTAGCCGCGTGTAAGAGTTACATTTTAACGAGACGCGCGCGCTATAATCAGTAGTTTATAAACTGTATTAGTCACTTTTAAGTTACTGAGGCCTAGTCCGTTAGCGCCTCGTATACAGCCTTAGGCCTTTGCGTGGCAAGGTATATTAAGCGTTTATTTTAATTTGTTTATAAAAAATAAATTGCACTTTTAACATTAACGCGAGTAGCCGCGTGTAAGAGTTACATTTTAACGACAGGCGCGCGCTATAATCAGTAGTTTATAAACTGTATTAGTCACTTTAAAGTTACTGAGGCCTAGTCATTCAGCGCCTCGTATACAGCCTTAGGCCTTTGCGTGGCAAGGTATATTAAGCGTTTATTTTAATATGTTTATAAAAAGTTAATTGCACTTTTAACATTAACGTGAGTAGCTGCGTGTAAGAGTTACATTTTAACGAGACGCGCGCACTATAATGAGTGGTTTATTAACTTTATTTGTCACTTTTAAGTTACTGAGGCCTAGTCCGTTAGCGCCTCGTATACAGCCTTAGGCCTTTGCGTGGCAAGGTATATTAAGCGTTTATTTTAATTTGTTTATCAATTAATCTCAGATGTGATCGTTTGGAAATGAAAGACTACGAGTCTTTAAATCTCACAACGTTTCTTGTCAAAACAAACACTTTTAATAATTAACGTTACACTAGAATACAGTAATTTTTCTTTAACTCCTCTATACCCGGTCGATATCCCTGTACCGGTACTAAGTATTATTCCTACCAGCCCACCCCGCAGGGTCCTGTTAGATCAGCCATTCACGAACCCCGTGACACGTGCATTGAACGAACAACCCAATGCCCAAAAAAAACACAAAACCCTGACTATTTCCAACAGCTGCAACACTTCTGGAAAAGAGAATAAAAGTTAGGAAACAGTGACATCAGCAAATCAACTGGGCCACACAGATGAGAGAAGCCCAAACTCGTCACAGGCATTGCGGAGTCTGGCGACAGCCACTACTTCATCCGGTCTGGTGTCCATCCCCAGTCTTCTCTCTGGGCTTTCGATTGTTGGCTACAACAATCGAATGCAACCGGATTGACGGGGTTTAGGAGTCGCGTGAGATGCCTTCGACACCAACGTCACAGTGGCAAGGATTGTTCCGACATGAAATTGCGAGCCATGCGCAGTATATTCATATGCATGTGCCGAGTCTGATCCAAATTGAGTAATTTATAGGTATTGGGATGTTTGTTTGGGTTTAAAAAAACAAAGTTAAATGTGTGCCGTTGCACCATGAACTCGTCATCCATGTGGTGTTTGCAGGTTTTATGGAGCGTGGGTTTCTGGTAACGGACACGGCCAGGATCCGTGACCGCTACTTGCGGTCATCACGGTTCAAACTCGACGTCTTGTCCGTCCTCCCGACGGACATCCTCTACCTGTGGGTCGGCACAAACCGCCCCGAGTTGCGGTTCAACCGCCTCCTGCGAGTCTCGTGCGTGTTCGACTGTTTCGACCAAATCGAGACGCGGACGAAATACCCGAAGAGCTTCCGCATCTTCAAGCTGGTCGTGTACATCTTCGTCATGGTCCACTGGAACGCGTGCGTCTACTTCCTGCTCTCCGCCCACATCGGTTTTGGCACCGACGGCTGGGTCTACCCCAACACCTCGACGGACACGCTCGCGCCCACGGCGCACCAGTACCTGCACTCCCTCTTCTTCTCGTCGCTCGTCCTCTTCACCGTGGGCAACATGCCCCAGGCCGAGCGGGACGCGGAGTTTGCCTTCACGGTCGTCGACTTGCTGATCACTGTATTCGTGTTCGCCACCATCGTCGAGTACATCTCGGGCATCGTCTTACGGGACAAAGCCGACGTGCGGTTCATAGCAAACTTCTGCGAGGTGAGAAAGTACGTCGAGCGTCACGGCATTGGGCGGGAGACGGAGCGCAGGGTGGTGGCCTGGCTCGAGTTCCTGCACTTCGGCAAGAAGGCGCTCGGCAGCGGGGAGGAGGAGGAGGCAGCGCTGCGGCGGCTGCCCATCACGCTCAGGGCCGCCATCGCCATCGACGTGCACATGCACACGCTGCGCAAAGTGGAGCTGTTTCGCAACTGCGAGATGGGGCTGCTGGAGGAGCTGGTGCTGAAGCTGCGGCCCAAGCTCTACAGCGCGGGGGACTACGTGTGCCGCAAGGGCGACGTCGGCAGGGAGATGTACTTTGTCAAGGATGGGAACCTGGCGGTGGTCGCGGACGACGGCGTCACGCTGCACGCCATCTTGGCGGAGGGCAGCTACTTTGGCGAGATCAGCCTCCTGAACATCTCCGGCAGCAGAGCGGGCAATCGGCGCACGGCAAACATCAGGAGCATCGGTTACTCGGACCTATTTTGTCTCTCGAAGGGCGACTTAGAAGAGGTGCTGTGCGAATACCCCGCGGCACGCGACATCATGGAGGAGAAGGGCAGGCAGATCTTGGCGGGCATGGCCCTTCTGAGCGACGACGTCGCCGCGCCTCCCGGCGGCGGTGGCGGCGGCGGCGGCGGTTGCTGCGCGATCCCTGGGGCAGCCCTGGGCGACGTGGAGCGCTCCGTGGGGGCCCTGCAGGTGCAGGTGGCGCGATTGCTCGCGGAGCACCGCTCCATGCAAAGGAGAATGAACGCGCGGCTCTGCGAGCTGGAACGCATCTGGGGCGAAGCAGATTCCCACGAGGGTAGCAGTGGGATCGATTAATTTGTGGGCTCTGACATCAACACGCAGGACACTGAATATACTTCTTGCATCAGAATAAAATAATAATAATAATCGAGCACGTTGGGTATTGGCGCGATCGTTCTTATCGCGCAGGGCAATCATCACAAAGGGAGTCACCATTGTTTCGCAGATAAAGTCTGCAGTAGTTTCGCAATAGGGGAGGATGTTGCTCCTGTGTCTTATCACAATTGAGTAATTAGCGGTGTAATTTTGACAAATTTTGACCATGAAGCCAGCACGCAATGGCCTACTTTTCACGAACGAAATCACAGGATCTTTAACATCTGTGAAGCAGACCGCACGCATTTGTAATGACGACACCCGCAGTTATAACCAGGGCGGCCTGCCAGAACCAAACCGTGAACCTCTGCAACGAGTGGTCAATGCGCTACCGCTCAATACTATCACTTTGGTTATATATATATATCATGTATCACTTGCACCACTCTTAAGTGTTGAATACGTTGATGTGTTAATTATAATCATTGTTGGGGGTGGCTGCTTCCTCCAGAGGCTTCGCGCACTTACTTCTTGGGTGCAAGATGAATAAACACACACTGACTTCTTGGGTGCACGATGAATAACACACTGACTTCTTGGGTGCACGATGAATAAACACACACTGACTTCTTGGGTGCACGATGAATAAACACACTGACTTCTTGGGTGCACGATGAATAAACACACACTGACTTCTTGGGTGTATGATGAATAAACACACACTGACTTCTTGGGTGCACGATGAATAACACACACACTGACTTCTTGGGTGCATTATGAATAAACACTCCCCGACTTCTTGGGTGCATGATGAATAAACACACACTGACTTCTTGGGTGCACGATGAATAAACACACACTGACTTCTTGGGTGCATGATGAATAAACACACTGACTTCTTGGGTGCACGATTAATTAACACACTGACTTCTTGGGTGCACGATGAATAAACACACTGACTTCTTGGGTGCATGATGAATAAACACACACTGACTTCTTGGGTGCACGATGAATAAACACTCACTGACTTCTTGGGGAGATGGCATTTTAGCCAGTCCCTTCTCCGGTGGCTAATTCCTCCAAATTTTTAAGATCCGCCCACTGAATTTGGATGATTTTTAATGAATAAACACGCACATACTCTTTGGGTCTTTCGGTAAAGCCACGTTGATAGAAAAATAAATAAAAATCACGACGTTTTGCTCGCAACACAATCGTCTTCAGGTGAAAAAATACAGCAGGCGGACTGCCTCAGTCCTCGTGTGGACTCAGCAGTCCGCCTGCTGTGTTTTTCCACCGGAAGACGATTGCTCGTGTTGCGATCGAAACGTTGTGTTTTATGTATTATTATTACTATTTTTCAATCTACGTGATTTTACCGAAAGACCTAAAGAGTATGCATTCCTGTAGTCACGAAAGCTTTAAGTCAAGATTTAAACACGCACACTTGATGGTGGGGTACACTATGGATAAACACGCACACTTGACTGGGGTACACTATGGATAAACACACTTGACGGTGGGGTACACTATGGATAAACACCCACACTTGACTGATGGTGGGGTACACTATGGATAAACACGCACACTTGATGGTGGGGTACACTATGGATAAACACACTTGATTGGGGTACACTATGGAAACTTGTCCAGCTGAATCGAAGTGGAAACTTTTTCACAGGATCCGAGACAACCGGACTACTCTCGCGACCAGGTGCATGGCTCCGTGTCTCCTCGTGTATGTGTCCACGTATCTCCGTGTCCCCACGTGTCTCCATGTCTCACCGTGTCTCTGCATGTAAGTGGATGGAGTCCACACGAGGACTGGTAAGGGGACCTTATTGTTCCAGCAGCACGACTCCCGCCACACACTCATGGCGGGAATCGTGTTGCTGGTACATCCCCGTCCCTTCTGGGACCTTCCAAAAGATGATTTTACATTAAAGGGGGGAAAAGGGGATTAACTCAACACGAATGAGCGGTGTTATTCATGTCAAGTGAACAGCACAACATCAACGCAAGAAAGTGAAGACACCGCGTGTGTCTGCGTGTGTCTTCTTGTGTCTCACTGTGTCAGGGCGTTTGTCTGCATGTCTCGGCTTGATTCTGTATTCCGCCTTTGTTTACAAAGAATCTGGACGCAAGCTTTAGCCCATTGCGGATTGTAATTTCCGTATTGCCCCTTGTGGATCGTCTATTGTTGCTTATTCCGTTTTGTGTATTGCATATTGCAGATCGCGCATTACCGATGGTGCATTAACTATTGACGATTTCTAATTGCCTGTCGCTTATTGCCTTTGGGCAACACCCTCGTATTTACTTGGAGATGGGGCCGCACGCCACGGGAGGCGAATAACGCGGCTCATGGGTGTTGGTGAATTACTCGGCTCATGGGTGTTGGTGAATTACTCGGTCCATGGGTGTTGGTGAATTACTCGGCTCATGGGTGTTGGTGAATTACTCGGTCCATGGGTGTTGGTGAATTACTCGGTCCATGGGTGTTGGTGAATTACTCGGCTCATGGGTGTTGGTGAATTACTCGGTCCATGGGTGTTGGTGAATTACTCGGTCCATGGGTGTTGGTGAATTACTCGGTCCATGGGTGTTGGTGAATTACTCGGTCCATGGGTGTTGGTGAATTACTCGGCTCATGGGTGTTGGTGAATTACTCGGTCCATGGGTGTTGGTGAATTACTCGGTCCATGGGTGTTGGTGAATTACTCGGCTCATGGGTGTTGGTGAATTACTCGGTCCATGGGTGTTGGTGAATTACTCGGTCCATGGGTGTTGGTGAATTACTCGGCTCATGGGTGTTGGTGAATTACTCGGTCCATGGGTGTTGGTGAATTACTCGGTCCATGGGTGTTGGTGAATTACTCGGTCCATGGGTGTTGGTGAATTACTCGGTCCATGGGTGTTGGTGAATTACTCGGCTCATGGGTGTTGGTGAATTACTCGGCTCATGGGTGTTGGTGAATTACTCGGCTCATGGGTGTTGGTGTTGGGCTCGCGGGCAGCAGGTGCGTGTGTCGTGGTGAGAGCCCCGCGATCCGAGTTCAATTCCCGCTCACGGTCAATGCGGTACAAATGGTGATTATTTTAACTGGTCCTGGGGCTCCCCTAGGTCGATCCAGCCTCAAAAGACGAGCACCTGGTGCGCTGTGTCAACAACTAAACATCGCCACTCGGGAGACGGCGCTCGGCGGCTGTGCGTGCTTCTGGTCGCCCACTCCGCCGCGTGCCGGCCCCCCCCCCAACCCCCTTCAGAGGCGCTCACGGACAGCAGCACTTGCCCAAACAATGTCACGGCTACATCATGGGGCCTCCTTTGCCGGTGTCAAAATATAATAGAATAGGTTTCCCCCTTTATTCTGGCAACAAAACAGCTCTTAAGATGTTAAAGGACCAAACTGAAACCTTTTGCAAGGAATCAAAACATGCTCTGACAGTATATACTGCACACACACACTGCACACACACTGCACACCTGCACACACACACTGCGCATACACACTGCACACACACACACTGCACACACACACTGCACACACACACACACACTGCACACACACACACTGCACACTGCACACACACACTGCACACACACACACACTGCACACACACACACACTGCACACACTGCACACTACACTCACTGCACACACTGCACACTGCACACACACTGCACACACACACTGTAATGTGAAGGCTACACGCGATGTCTTTGTGGGGAAGGGGGAAGTGGAACTTTGCTCTTGGGCGCCAGCGCCGTGGCAACACTCGCGCCCCACAAGCGCCTGGGCTGGGCTCCTGACCAGGGCGCCTCTCAGCGCGCAGAGTGTGTGTGGGTTGTTCTCTCTCTCTCTGCTGGGCATGGGTTCGTGTGTGTGGGTTGTTCTCTCTCTCTCTGCTGGGCATGGGTTCGTGTGTGTGGGTTGTTCTCTCTCTCTGCTGGGCATGGGCTCGTGTGTGTGGGTTGTTCTCTCTCTCTCTGCTGGGCATGGGTTCGTGTGTGTGAGTTGTTCTCTCTCTCTCTGCTGGGCATGGGTTCGTGTGTGTGGGTTGTTCTCTCTCTCTCTGCTGGGCATGGGTTCGTGTGTGTGGGTTGTTCTCTCCCTCCCCTCTGCTGGGCATGGGTTCGTGTGTGTGGGTTGTTCTCTCCCTCCCCTCTGCTGGGCATGGCATCTGCGGTTTCTTTCCAGGGCTAAAAAGAACACACACAGTGTAACTCGTATTGGCCAAGTATCCCAATGCTGAAAATGTACCTCCAAATTACCTGCATATCGCTACATTTGGATTGCAGAGCAGCATTTCCTTTCCTGAAACATCTCTAAACTCCTTGATAGTTACGTTTTATGGTTGGTAATTATCGCCAAATGATGACGACGGACCCGTCCTGTCCAATCGGTCAAGGTGTAAAACACACCGCACCACTCTCCTCTGGAGCGGCGATGATGATGAATGATGCAGTGAGGAGAAGGGCCAGCCTGAGATGGGAGCATCTCGCCAGCCTCCTGCGGTCCAGGCCTCGCTCCGCCCCGTGGGGAGCAGCCGCCTCTCTGGGGATCGAGGGTTGCTCCCTCGCACGCGTGGGTTTCCTGTACGAGCACTGCGGTTTCCGCCCACGTACAATACACACTTATCATTGATTTGCTGAAATAATTCATGACAAAAACCCAAAGCGGGGACCCTCCTCAAAATGACTAATCAGACTCCGTCCGTGTGACCTTTAAGTAAGCATCAATGTTATTACCGTAATCTTGATTCGTATTACTGTACTGTACGAATATTATCTTCACACCCACTCACATAGCCCCGCCCATTCCTTTTCCCATCTGGATACAGCCACATTACCAAATGTGATTTGTAAATTAGATTCTTAATGTATCGATAGTAACATTTTAATGTCCACTTTTATTGAGGGACTGTACGTTGTCTTGGTGTGGTCTGGGACTGTGTTTGCTGCTGTTTTAACTGCCTTCGCCAAGCTTGGGAATTGATGATGCAATTGTAACGTCAATACTTTGTTTAGTCAAGGGGCGCCACGGTGGTGTGACGTTATCTTCCTCAGCCAGGTATGGAGGAGAATCGGAGGTTCGATCCCAACCGGAACGCCTGTGTATTTGAAGTTTGTATGTTCTTCTCGTGGTCGCGTGGATTTTTCTCCAGGTCCTTCAGTTTTCCCTCCGCATTTTGCATCATGCGTCTAGATTATTTAGAGTATTTTTATGCTATAAATCTCCACGTAATAAGGCAACTTTGTTGAGCTATCATTTGTGGCCAGGCCGCTTCTGATAAAAAAAAACAAGCTAATCGCTCAGTCAGTGGGCTTTACCTGGTCAGATGAAAAAAATATATTTATTAAAGTGATTTGTTTACCTTTCCTATACTTTGCACTCCTATCGTTGTAATGTTCTGACCCGCCAGTACTGGAGAACTGTAAAACGAGCTTCATAGCTCATCGGATTCCTCCTGCAGTCTAAATACAGATCCCGATTCCTTACTAGCCCCGCCCCTCATTTCCACCCCCCTACATTACTAGCCCCGCCCCTCACGTTCACCCCCCACTTTACTAGCCCCACCCCTCATGTCCACCCCCCCCACTTACTAGCCCCGCCCCTCATGTCCACCCCCCGCTTTGCTAGCTCCGCCCCTCATGTCCAACCCCCCACTTTACTAGCCCCGCCCCTCACGTCCACCCCCCCCCCACTTTACTAGCCCCGCCCCTCACGTCCACCCCCCCCCCACTTTACTAGCCCCGCCCCTCACGTCCACCCCCCACTTTACTAGCCCCGCCCCTCATTCCCCTCCCCCACTCACTTCACTAGCCCCGCCCCTCACGCCCACCCTGCCCCCTCTAGATATGGCCCCGCCCCTCAGATGCGAGTCGCTTGGGAAGTGAAGATCATGGTGAGTGTAGCGGTCTCCGCTACTAACAGCTCTTACAGTCACAACTGTTGCCCATGCTCTAATTAGTGTATTTGTGTAGCAATGTGTATGTGTACCTTGTGTGTATGTGTACGAGTGTATGTATGAGTGCATATGTAAGTATGTGTGTGTGTGTATATAAGTAGACTATGTGTGGAAGCGTATGTGTGTGCATCTAGCCTGGCACAGGCGTAGTGGTGATGTCACCGCGACTTAGTAAACACGTGTGGTCGTTGTGTCTGTGTGTACACAATGTAAACACGTGTGGTCGTTGTGTCTGTGTGTACACAATGTAAACACATGTGGTTGTTGTGTCTGTGTGTACACAATGTAAACAAGTGTGGGGAAGTCAATAACGGTTGTTTTACGGGGAAACTCGTCCCCGCCCTGGGAATGCGGAATTTCCACCACGGCTCAGGGCTGTGGGAGATTAGTTTGGACGTCTCGATGCGCGTCCGAGCAAGAACTCCGTTTGAAGATGTGAAGTGTTCGTGTCTCGCGGGTCGCGCGTCGCGCTACGAACCCCTAGGTCGACTCGGCCGCAAATAAGTACCTGGTGCGGTGTGTAAACATCGCCACTGGGGAGACAAAGGCGGCCGGGCGTGGGGTGCTGGCCACCCACCCCTTCGTGTGCCGTGTCGGCCTTCATAGGTGCTTGTTAACAGCACTTGTCCCAACAGCCTGTGAAGGCGACACGTGGATCTTGGTGTGGAGACACCAAGATCCACGTGCATGTCAGGAGGTGTCCGCTGAGTGACGCGTGTGGACGGGCGGCAGCGCCCAACGAACTCTCTCCGCCGAAGCCCTCTCCCCGTGGCGAGCAGCAGCAGACCTCGATATTGAATTCATGACCGCTGCCATCACGCGCATGACGGCAGCGGTCACCTCGCCGCTGCCTGTTGCTGCGCGGTGCTGCTGCTGATGGTGGTGGTGATGGCGGTGGTGATGGTGATGGTGGTGATGGTGGTGGTGGTGATGGTGGTGGTGGTCAGGGTTTGTTCCTCTTAAACACACCGTGCTCAGTGGCAGAGCGAGCAGCTTGCAATCGGAAGGTTGCGGGAGTTAGAACCGTGGTTGAGTACCACTTGGTGGGGAAGTAAAACGCGGTTGTCCTATGGATAGACGCGCCCCCCGCCAGAGGAATGTGGAACTTCCACCACTGGGGCTGCTGCAGGGTTGTAAACAGAGGAGCACTGATGCTTCATTGCTCATTGAGCAGTACAGTACGTTGTCATTTATGTAAAGACATATAAACACGAGGAAGTTACCTTCGTTTGATGCCTGGCCACGGCTAACATCAGTGGCGAGTGATATCTGAAGGGGTTCCCTTCACCATGAGCTCACAATGACCAGCATCAGGAAGAATTGTCAAACATGGTGCGGGGAGGCCTTCAGGCAGCAGTGGATTAATCAAAGGCTGTAGATTAAGTATAAATCTCGACAGAATGTTATAACAATCGGAATTGACGAGGCTGGTTCAACGGGAATCGATAACCGTTTTGAGAATCGATAACTGTTTCCTAAAGTCAGGAATCCGTTTAC